ATCTCGGCCGACTTCGAAGACGTCGGCCGCACCAAGTAGTGTCATTAACGATACTTTGGGATATTTGGGGCGGCCGACGTCTTCGAAGTCGGCCGAGATTATTTCTTATATCATGAACAATACTTGTTCGGCCGCCATAAGTATTGTTCGTGATGGAGCATGATCTTCGCCTGCAACCCAACCTAAGTATCAAGTACAAAACGTAGGTTGGGTTGGGTTGAGAAATAATCTCAGCCAAACAGAACCCAACCCAAGTATCGCAAACAATACTTAGGGCGGCCGACGTCTTCGAAGTCGGCCGAGATTATTTCTTCAATAAAGTTTTTAATGTTGATATCCACTATGTTTGGCGTCTTTTGAGTGCACAGCAATGTAATTTTCGGACTTCATTTTCTGACTCTTCTTATGTATTGGACATATCTTAATTTTTTCCCGTCGTTAGATATCGTTTCTTCTGCCTATATATGGTTTATTAAGTTGTATAGGTGCTCCTGCAGAGTATCTCCGCTATCTTTATACAATTCGGCTGGGATACAACCCATTCTGGCGTCACCCACTTCTTCTATCGTTGGTAAGGGTACCGCTATGTCTGGTGTTCCGATTCCAATTAGTTTTGGGTTTTGGGGGAAAAGTTACTTTGAAGAATTATATTAAATATAAACTTTATTTATCAAAACTTAGTGAACAATTTTTATTACAAAATACATTATCAAAAACGTTTGCTTAATATTAACATATCACAACAATAAGACTATTTTAATTCGCTATATATTAACGTTCAAAAAGGCAGAACAATTAATATTTATAACTTAGTAAACTATATTTGAAAATACATTATCACAGAGGTAAATCAAAAACGATTGCTTAATAATAATGTATCACAGGAATGCGACTAATTTTTTTAAATAACATTTAATAACACAGAATAATTTTAATTTATCAAATCTTAGTGAAACAAATAAATAATTTTTAAGAAAACATTGCTTAATAATAATGTATCACAGGAATGCGACTAATTTTTTTAAATAACATTTAATAACACAGAATAATTTTAATTTATCAAAACTTAGTGAAACAAATAAATAATTTTTAAGAAAACATTGCTTAATAATAATGTATCACAGGAATGCGACTAATTTTTTTAAATAACATTTAATAACACAGAATAATTTTAATTTATCAAAACTTAGTGAAACAAATAAATAATTTTTAAGAAAACATTTCTCTAACTTCGAAAATTGTTGGACGATCATCCGGATTTATACACATCATATTTACAACTGAGTGAAACTCGTGTATATCATTCAATACGAAGACTACGTTATATATTGCTCGTCGTAAATCTATCAATCCTCTAGTTCTATCCTCTTCGTTTGAATATGGGACCATTAATTCGTACAATATCATCCCTAACGCAAAAATATCAGCTTTATTGTCGTACGTTTTCGTATAATATACTTCTGGGCTCATATAGAGCTGTGTTCCAGCACCTCGCGTGTGACTTTGCTCTATTGAGTTGTCTAACTCTTCGTTGTTACCATGGTTATCCATACTAGTGACTAAGCCAAAATCTCCAATTTTCACGACTCCATTCAATGAGAAAAAAATGTTGCACGGTTTTAAATCTCGGTGTATTAAATTTTTAGAATGAATATAAGCAACTCCATCAACAATTTGTCTAAAAACGTCTAAAGAATCCGCTTTAACGCGATTAGGCGCGGTGAAAAACAGCCAATCTTTTAAACTTCCTGTTAGACACAACTCCATTTGAATAAAAAAGAAAATTTTCATGTCATTTGAGTGAGGATTCACAGGGCAGCAGTTACAACGGGATGCCACAGCTTTCGTTAAGTTACAAGATGACTTGTTACAATTATAGTAATAATAATGATCGTAACAAAAATCAGAGGGTGTTCGTTCCAGCCATGAGTCAAAATATCGAACAATATTCGGATGATTCAACGCTTTTAACACCAACATTTCACGGATAGCATAATCCACGCCTTTATTTCGTTCTATTTTAACTCTTTTAATAGCATAACTACGTTCAGTATTCCTATGTTTTACTTCAAAAACACTTCCGAACCCTCCGGAACCCAAATTACTAAGTACATTGAAGGTGGTTTCCATATATGAGGCAAAAGTTGATTGGCGTGGTGGCTGCCCATAATTCTTAATTACGTCTAAATATGATTCGTGTTCCTGTGAAAATGAGATGTTTTAAAGTGATCATAGAAATGTGTGATGTCTTACCATAGTTATTTAGCTTGGATTGGTAATATCGTTGGAATACCTAAGATTGAGACAAATTAAACATTTTGTTGTAATAAATAAATTATTAAAAGTAAAAATACCTCGAATGCGGAGAATTTAATTTAAATCAAATACGAATCGTGAAGCGCCAACCTCAAAACGAAAAATATTCGAACTATAAGCGAACTTAACCTACAAATTATGATAAGTAAAGTTATTAAACAAAAAATATCTATCTTTTTATAAAAATTACCAATTAATAAAGTTAATTTTCTCGTTTTAACTTTATTTGCACTCAGAGATACATTATGGACGTTTTAAATTGTTTTAAATTAATAATCCAAAGGAACAAGTTTTAGCAAGCGCAAGTACAGTTGGAACCAAAAGAATACTGCAGGTTCGATTGATCAAATTTTGTCTAAAATATTTTGTTTAAATCATATATAAATCCAATTTCATTTCAGAAGTGACTTATTATTAGCAAAATGTGGTAATAAAGGCAGGAAAAAATTTATTTTGAAAACAACACATGGAAAAGTTGAATGGTATATATCGAAGAAATAGAACGGATTATTAATAATGGAAGAATTAACAGTATAAGAAACTATTGATTTAATCAAATCACAAGAAAAAATGGACTGAATAATTCTAATCCTATTATTAATACTTAAATATAGAATCAGACTTTGTTTATACCTCCCGGTGTTGAAATAGTAATTCAATTCGTTCAAACCTGTTTCACTCATACCCCCTATCACATTCTTCCAGATCTCTGGAAGTGACCAAGTACCAGTAACACTGCAAGAAGTTATCAAAGAAAGTGGGGATTCAACTATTATGAATTCATTGGATATGTGTTCCCAAGTGTGGGAAAATCATTCAACGAGGTGTCTTAATAGGCTATTATGCGTGTTACCCTCTAAAATTGTTATTATTTTCAATAGGGGGCTCCATCAATGTCTCAACCTCCTAAAGGACTACAGAAAAATATAGCATTTTGATTTTTAAATCGTTGTTTATGCTCAGAATCCCAAGCGTTACTATCAAAAACTACGAATTTATCTAATTTTCATAGAAATTTCAAGAAATAATCTCGGCCGACTTCGAAGACGTCGGCCGCCCTAGGTATTGTTCATGATACTTAAAATACTCGGGATTCGGAGGATACTACAAAAAAACTTTTAGAACAAAAGTAGTAGCAAATTTTATTCTTAACAATATTGCTCTCTTTCACTTTTACACTCAGATGCATAAATATCGAGAAAAATATGAAATTTGCTAAATTCATAGTTTTAAAAGTTATATGCTGTTTATGGAAGAAATAATCTCGGCCGACTTCGAAGACGTCGGCCGTCCTAAGTATTGTTAAGGATACTTGTGGCGGCCGACGTCTTCGAAGTCGGCCGAGATTATTCCTTATATCAAAACACTTGGGGTTCGGAGCATATTACAAAAAAACTTTTAGAACAAAAGTTGTAGGAAATTTTATTCTTAACAATATCGCTCTCTAGCACTTTTGCTCTTAGATGTATAAATATCGAGAAAAATACGAAAATATGCTGAATTCGTTGTTTTACAAGTTGTTAATGGTATCACTCAAGATTCGGAGCACACTACAAAAAACTTTTGAAGCAAAAGTTGTAGCAAATTTTATTCTTAACAATATTGCTCTCTTTCACTTTTGCTCTGAGATGCATAGATATCGAGAAAAATACGCAAATATGATGAATTTCGTTGTTTTAAGTAGGTAATGGTAACATTTCAGAATCGGAGCATGCTATAAAAAACTTTTAGAATAAAAGTTGTAGCAAATTAACAATATTGCTCTCTTTCACTTTTTCACTCAGATGCATAAATATCGAGAAAAATATGAAAATTTGCTAAATTCATAGTTTTAAAAGTTGTATATGCTGTTTTTGGAAGAAATAATCTCGGCCTAAGTACTGTTCAGGATACTTGGGGCGGCCGACGTCTTCGAAGTCGGCCGAGATTATTTCTTATATCACTAACAATACTTGAGTATCACTTTCAACATTCGCGGTTTTGTTTCATCGTGACTCTTGTCACCTCTCCAGCTGTTTCGTAATCTCTTTTAGTTTTTTGTGTAAGTTAAATAAGTTGTTTTACTCGTTTTTATACTTTTATGAAATAAAAGAAATCACCTTATTTATAAAAATTTATTTAATTAATATATATATTAAAATACGCAGTCGAATAAAGGGAATATAAACTCAATATTAATTCTAATAAGTTCTTAAACTTAAGGAAACAAGAAATAAGAATAAAACTATCGCATTGTTACATCCCAGGAGTCCGCTATTTTATTTTATTTAACAACAATAACACTACCTTATATTATAACAACAAAAATCAAATCGAAGATGTTAAATGAGCATCCACACAACCTAATCGTTATAGCAATGACTTATATAATCCAATATTGCATACACGTTATAAACAATCCGATAAATTTAAGCATAATTACCGGCGATTATGTTGAAAGATTTCACACTTTATTAAGACAAAATTTTAATGTAATTAAATATAATATCTGGTAAATATGCATAATTATCGAATCACTGAAGAACTCCAAAGTTGTAATAATATCTCGAAAAATAAACGTAATAATACTTTTACAAAGTAAAAAATTTAAAATTAATTCGAGCTAATCTAATGATACCTTAATACTAACCGCTAGGAATCACAGGTCCCTAAATATTAATCACAGCGATGTGTTTTTAAGAAAACAACGACGTTTGAATTTGAGCCGTTGTCGGACGATCATCCGGATTGTGCGCCAGCATATTTTGGAGCACCCGAAATTCGTAATCGTGATCGTTTACGAATTCCTCAACGTAATTGCCTTTGCGTAAATCAGTCAATGTTCTAATCCTTTCCGATTCGGTGGAAAACGGAACCATTAATTCGTACAATATCACCCCCAAAGAATAAATATCGACTTTGTAATTGTACTTTTTCTTTTCAATTTGCTCGGGACTCATGTAAAGTTGAGTTCCAACACCTTTAGTATGGCTTTGCAAAATTGACTCGTTAAATGGCACGCTGTTATCGGAAATATTATCCATCGTAGTAACTAAACCAAAATCGCCAACTTTAATTATTCCTTCCATGGAGAAAAAGATATTACTGGGTTTTAAATCTCTATGTATCAAATTTTTTGAGTGAACATAAGCGACTGCTTCAACTATTTGCTTAAATATATTTAACGAAAACGTTTTATCCCGATTATCCGAGTTATCGAGCAACCATTCTTTTAAACTTTCCGCTTGACACAATTGCATTTGAATATAAAGATAAATTGGGGTTCGTTCAACAAATGTTTCTCTTGTATCGTTTGAGTGAGATTTTGTTTTGTAAGAAATACTTTGTGATGGCGTGGATATCTGATGATTTTTATTATTAGTAATGCCACTCTTTTTATCCGTCTTAGTTTCATCTAAAAATACAATCCCACCAGAAGATTCCATTTCGCTCATATCAATAATAGTGGAATTGTTCCTTTTATGCGTATTTTTGTGTGTTTTCACTGGGGTAGTTTCATCGTACGTCGATTCAATCAGATCTTTATCATGTTCATAACAAAAACCTAGTGGCGGTCTTTCAAACCACGAATTAAAATATCGAACAATATTCTTATGATCCAAATTGGCTAATGCTCTAACTTCACGCAGAACCAATTCGGTGTATTCTTCTTTATCCAACGTGATTCTTTTAATGGCATAACCACATTGATCAATTTTTTGTTTGGCTTCAAAGACCACCCCGAAACCTCCTTTACCCAAACAACCAATCGTTTCGAAGCTACATTCGTAATGTGATGTAAAAGTTGATGTTTCCGGTTCTGTTGCGTTGGATACGGAAGGGACTGGTTTTGTATCAATTTGAACTATGCAATCGGGTTGAGTTTTAACTTCAAAATTACATAGGAAATAAGCTACACAAATTGCGGTAATAATTGTTAGATGGATCGTCCAATGCCATTGTAGTGGCCAAAGAAATAACATTCCATTTTCGAAAGTTCCCGCGTCGGTTAAATTATCCGGGCAAGAGTAGGCATCTTCGTCTTTCTTTTCTTCATCATATAAATAAAATCCATTTCCGTTCACATATTCTGACCCATACAAAACGGAAATAGCGGTGGATTGGTCAAGATCTTTCGTGTTTACATCCGAAGATGATGCCACAACCGGTTTCCATGGAATAGTTAAAACACCTTTACTTTCAATTACTTCATACTCGCTATACCGGCTGTGTTGCAACTTTTTTAACATCTCCTTTGATTCGTGGATATATAATTGTTTGTTATGCATCGCTAAGTAAATTAGAGGATTATTCTTAACATCATTTTCTACAATCGCGGCCGATTCAAAAGTATCGACGCTTTGCAAATCTTTTCCATCCCATATCCAAACGTCCACGATGGGAGATTCAAACTTTTTCTCCCAAATAAATTTATTTTCCTTATCTTCTATTTTTGATGCTTGTATAAGCCCCTCTGGAGGTATTGCTGTGATGTTAAAATCCATCTTTGTTGTGATTAAATTTGCGCAATCGTGATGTGGTATTTTTACGTTGTGATGTCCCACACTGAAGTTCCATCTATAAAGATAAGACATTTATTAAATAGTAACATAAGTGTTAACACTTTAAAATACCTTTCACTTCCAGTTCGTGGCTCATGAGCATGAACAGTGAGAGTGTTCCTCTCGATAATAATGACGTCGTCAATCTCCCCATCGTTTTGTGTCTTATTATGACACCCATTCACAGAACAAGTATATAAAATATGTCCAGTATGGAGTCCAACCCCGTATGTTTTTACTTCTTTCCCCCCAGCAATGACTATGTCATTGGCATAAACAAAGGAGGATTTAAGAAGGCTTTCAGCTGTTATTGGAATGGCATCTATAGTTTTTCCATTAAATTTATACAAGCTTCCTGTTAATGATGGAATTATTTGTATCCATTCCCCATTATTAGTTAACTATAAAAAAGAGAGATATTTTAATGATTTAACTTTTTTAGCAATTAACACTGTGTTCTTTAAATCTTAATTTGCTGCTTGGATATCCTTAAATAGATAAATATTCACTGGCTATGTCGGTCTATCTTATACAGAGTGTTCAAAAATATAACTGCTGTTTCGCCATATTTAATTACAACCCATATTTGATTCGCTTATCAGATAGAGAATTTAATTCTCTACAAATTTTCAGTATATGTCCCTATACCTATCTGTTGCAGTTGTTGAGATATAGCAGAATTAATCAAAATCGGCTACATTGATCTATCTTATACAGTGTTCAAAAATATAACTGCTGTTTAGCCATATTTAATTGCAACCCATATTTGATTCGCTTATCAGATAGAGAATTTAATTCTCTACAAATCTTCAGTATATGTCCCTATACCTATCTGTTGCAGTTGTTGAGATATAGCAGAATTAATCAAAATCGGCTACATTGATCTATCTTATACAGTGTTCAAAAATATAACTGCTGTTTAGCCATATTTAATTGCAACCCATATTTGATTCGCTTATCAGATAGAGAATTTAATTCTCTACAAATCTTCAGTATATGTCCCTATACCTATCTGTTGCAGTTGTTGAGATATAGCAGAATTAATCAAAATCGGCTACATTGATCTATCTTATACAGTGTTCAAAAATATAACTGCTGTTTAGCCATATTTAATTGCAACCCATATTTGATTCGCTTATCAGATAGAGAATTTAATTCTCTACAAATCTTCAGTATATGTCCCTATACCTATCTGTTGCAGTTGTTGAGATATAGCAGAATTAATCAAAATCGGCTACATTGATCTATCTTATACAGTGTTCAAAAATATAACTGCTGTTTAGCCATATTTAATTACAACCCATATTTGATTCGCTTATCAGATAGAGAATTTAATTCTCTACAAATCTTCAGTATATGTCCCTATACCTATCTGTTGCAGTTATTGAGATATAGCAGAATTAATCAAAATCGGCTACATTGATCTATCTTATACAGTGTTCAAAAATATAACTGCTGTTTTGCCATATTCAATTGCAACCCATATTTGATTCGCTTATCAGTTAGAGAATTTAATTCTCTACAAATCTTCACTACATGTCCCTATACCTATCTGTTGCAGTTATTGAGATATAGCAAAATTAATCAAAATAATACAAAGAATCGCAATTTTATTTATTTTTTTATTAGTAGATCATAAAATATATGCGTTTAACAGCTCTTACATGGGACACCCTGTATATAACTTCATACTTACTTGTAGATTATGAATGTTTGATTTCAGAAGCGAACCTGGATCAGTTGAAATTTGCCATGACAGCACTCCGGAAGTATTTAAAGCGCTTAATTTGCCATCTAAAGTGCTTACTAAAATAAGCCTAAAAAGAATGATTAAATGATTGATAAACACTGTTTGATTTTTGAAGCTTACCCTTGATTGGAATTTTCGATGCAATGAGGAAGTTGTCTCACGGTGGCGGCAACGCCAACGAATAAATAAACCCCCAAGAGAAAACCACAACCAATTTCTAACAATTTTAATTTCATTTTTACGTTAACTCAACGTTTTCACATAGTAATATAACCGCATACCTCGACGGTGTTGACATCACTTGGAAACTGTCAAACTACTTTATCTACAACATCAGCCGATATCAGTGCGTACCAATATAAAAAAAAATATGAATTCCAAAAATGAATGACGTGGAATTCTATTTCGTAGTGTTGGTATATTTTAGATTATTACTATTTTTTAATAATACACCAATTTTGATTGTTGGATTTTATAAATTAATTTGTTTGTGGATGATGAATAAAAATTGTTTTAAAACGGAATCTGTTTTACCGATTTTTATTTCGGGGTCGTTTAAATTGTTTTCGAAGTTGAGAGTTAACTATTTTATGACATATCTACTTATTGATACATAAAATGTATATGGGTATTGTTAATAAATATAGTTGGTCAAATGAATTGTGTTGTGTGGTTCGTACTTATGACTATTAGATGTCGCTGTATATATTTTAATCGTTTTTATTTTTTTGTACATTCAAAACATTGATGTGTTCGTGATATAAGAAATAATCTCGGTCGACTTCGAAGATGTCGGCTGCCCAAAGTATCATGAATAACACTTAGGGCCAAGTATTGTTCGTGATATAAGAAATAATCTCGGCCGACTTCGAAGATGTCGGCCGCCCAATGTAACATGAACAATACTAGAAGATTATTTCTTCCATAAATTTTAGTGTGAAACCAAATCTACCCTGCTTGAAAAGTATTATGAATAATACTTAGGGCAAAGTATTGTTCGTGGCATAAGAAATAATCTCTAATACTTAAGGAAATTACTTCCACAAATTTGACAGATGCATCAAGTTTCATCAAAGCAGGAAATTTTCATCAAGACATTGATGTTGGTGACTCATTATGGAAAATGTTGTATTAAGAGCTTCCAGTAAGAGGAAAAATGATTAAATACAATAAATTTTTTGTTGTGAACAATAAAAAAAATGAGGAAAAGAGTTAAATAGCCACGTGAAAATGTGAGGTTAAGCGCTGCATCTACAGAATGAAAGCGAGCGCCATCTGTTAGGGTTGACGTGAACTACGGCATGTTCATTGATGGGAATTTTTGGTGGATGCGCCGGCTTAATCCGTTTTCATGAATGAATACACCCCTTATCACAGGGGATTACTGAATTTCCAGGAAAGTTTTGATATAGGTCAATCTCAGTTGGCACATTTCGAATTATCGCATATATACTATATATTATTATATATATATAAACTTATTGAAATATTATTTTTTAATGATGTGATTATTTTTGATGATTATAGTGACGACATTAAAGTGAAATATTTGTTATATAAGTATATATATGTATATATATAAAACAAGTTAATTCTTTTATATATTGATTGTTAGTATACATATATAAAGTCTTTATTGTTGCAGCAATGGTGTTGTTGTCATAGTGACGGTTTTACGTAACGTGTATCAGTGGCGCCCCCGCTGATGGAACTAAGTAGGGGGTTGAAACTAAGTCTTGAGGGGTAGTTTTTGAGAAGGCCTAGCCAGTCCACCGCTAGAGCGCGCGACTGTAGATAAGTAGTTCAAATCGTGCAGAAGGCGAAACGTCGCAGAAACGATGTGAATATCCGCGCCGACTGCGGCAAGAGCGGCAAAAGCGGCGCCCCGGAAAAACGCGCACGGTCTCGTCGTTCCCGACCGGAAATGGTACTTTCGCCGGCAGGACCCTGCAGGACCCGCCATCCCCCCCTGACATTCGCTCTGCGTCAAAATGGACGGTGCAGTGTGAGGAAAATGGCGTACGCTGAGGAGTGCTCCGGAACGGGGGCGCAAGTCGTCGCGCGGAAATCGTAATGCCCCCGAAAACGGAAACGCGACCCGACGACCGAGAAAAACGCGGGTGCCCCGAATAAAGTGAGTGCGCGAAGCCTGCTGCTGCGACGAGATTGCCATAAGCCACCAGCAATAAATGAAGACTAATACCTCACATGATTTTTCAAGGACATACACACGTAACAAAGAAAGTTGATGTAAGTAAAATATATTGTGCGAGCCCCCCAAAAAGAAAATGCAACAATGAGACCAAGAGTTTATTTTAATTTAACCTTTTTTATTTGAGGCCGACGGTTTATGGGTCAATCCTGCGTATCGATTATTCTGTCGCATAGGCTCGCTTCCTAAGCAGCTCTCGGGAACGTTTAGAAACCTTCCGTATTACGAAAACTTCCCCAACGATTCCGTGAATTCGATGTTATGCATCGTTCATGAATTCTCCCGGAACTAAGGCTACATATTTAATGATCGGGAATCGTAAAACCTGAGATATATTGTCTTGGGCAGGTTTCTTTTTGACTAACCAAATATTTTTTTTTTGTCACAAAAGAAAATGTTAACACAAAAACATCTCTCTTTAATTAATATCTTTTTTTTACATCAGTAATCACTTAACTGATTCATTTTTAATTAACCCCTAATCTATCTAGAATCTACATTTTACTAATTAACCCCTACCATGACCGTAATCCCATCATATTTTTGATCAAACAACCAAGCATTTTTCTGTAATTCAATTTAATTTAATTTTTTTTTTTTTAATTTTTTTCTGAATTAATTTCGATTATTATTAAAATTTGTTTTAATTTTTGTTCGAAATGATCTATTTTGATGGGAATTATCCGATAATCATCAAAACTGAAAAACTATCCAATGCTACATTGATTTTTATTTGACTGCGCACTGGCGAGGGCGCAAGCGCGTTTGTCGGCACGAAGTCTGGAAAATATATGACGTCACGTAGTCCCATCCAAAATATCTCGTGGGTGTTTTTCCACTTAAGGAATTGGACATCGTCGGTTCAAGACGAAAAACTTTCTTCTTTATTTTCCGTAGAAAAAGTTTATTAAATTTAAAATCCAAAAAAATTAGTACACTTAGCTTTTTAAAACGTAATGAAGTCACAAAAGTATTTAGTAACTATTTGAATTCTATTTATATTCAAATGTTAATGTTTAAGTATTTTTGTACGTCAATTTGTGCCTTCGTTCCAACAATTCGCCCATCAGGTAAAGTTAGGTTCATTCTTTGATATAAATAAAAAATTTTTTTTGGATTAAAATTTCTTTTTAGGGTATCGTGGGGGCCTAGGTGTAAGGAGAAATGTCCGAAGCTTCTGAGACACTGTCCGAAGAGGAACGTAGCTTATTCCGTCCATTTACCCGTGAATCGTTCGCTGCTATCGAGACGAGGATTGCCGAGGAATATGCAAAGCAGAAGGAGCTCGAAAAGAAAAGAGCGGAGGGAGAGGTAAGTGATTGCAATAAAACGAATTTAAATCGGATTAAATTTCATCTAAAACCCAACCGATTTGGAATCGAAATTTATTACAATGAATTCAGTGTATATATAGTATATACTGCCTACATTCACGTCTATCTGAATCTAACCCATTTTAGATGAATGCGTGTCGTTTGTAAATCTGTGCTTATGATGTGCATGATTATTTTTATTTTTGATTATCACGATGTCAAATAAGATCTATAATAATCTGATCAATCCAAAAATCTTTAAGATGAGCTTTCATGTACTATATCTGGCTGTAGATCCATCGCATGTATGTTGTATAAGAATATCTCTATATATATCTCTTTCTCTACAAGTAACAGATAACCACATGGAACATCTAAAAAAGTTAATTTGCCGAAAAATATTTTTTCGCCGAATAAACTTTTTAATATTTAACAATCAAATTCATACATGTTTTAATCATTTATGTCCCAATTTAGTAGTCGACGAGTAATTCTAGAAAAAAAATTAACGAAGCGATGCAGACAATGCCCTTGCTATTCATGTGCTAAATCTTCTTAAACTTTATTACAGCCTGGTTTTGGACGACGGAAAAAGAAAAAAGAAGTAAGAACTCCCCCTAAAAACATAAGCAAAACACTTGCTTTTACATTAGCTATTTACTAGTCCATGCTCCTGACGATACAAATCAATTAACTAAAAAACTATATATATATATATAATAACTATGATGTAACACAATTAATCATAATCCTCTGTGTTGTTTATACTCTTCCTGTCGTCAGTTGCATTATGCTTTTTACAAAATGACAAAAATTTTTGCTTGACACTGTATACACTTTCTACACTGGCTGTCATAATACGTAGAACAGGATTTCTTTTATATAGTGTAAATTGAATGCGTAATTATAGGTCCACATAATAGACATACAGTCTCCTCCACCTTTCTTTTGCTTAAAATCTTTGTAATTAATAAAAATTAATTAACACTTAAACTGTATGTATATTAGAAGCAATCAATACTTATTTAGAACACTTGTATGGTACTATTTTAATTTGCATGCACCACACCGTTAAATAAATTAAAAAAATTTTTCTTCGTATTTTAAAGAAACGACGATCGATAACAAAAGCAAACAGTTCCAGTTTATTATCTTTCAATGAACCGCGCTATCAGAATAATATTTGTGAGGTCAACCGAAAAGATTCTAATTGATCGTGTCAGAAATAACATGGCCACAGCGATTATTGAATAAAATATACGAACGGAACGCGGCGTCTATTTGAACTCTAGTTAAAAATACTAGCGCTATTCTTTGCGCTTTGGCCCCTAACGGACGGTCGATATTCTACGTAATTCTCTCACTTCGTACGGCAACAATCCATCAATCGACATTTTTTTTCACTTTTGAAAGATAATATTTTCGAGGAATTTTTTATATTTATTTAAAAAAAAATATTTTAATTGATAACAAATCCTCCCAATCTATTTTAACAATATTTAAATCGATTACAAAAATAGTCACCAATTTTCTGCGAAATTATTTTTCAAATTGGTATTTAATTATATCATATTATAAAATCAATAAGTACAAGTTTTATTGAAGTGGAACGTTAAATTAGGGTTTATTAACTCTTCGAGGACTCTTATTAATTATTCCATTTTAATCAACTTTTTGGCCAAAATTAATTTTTCAACACAATTCAATTGTTGATATTGGAGCGATTTTACTACTATTATGATACCTCGTGGCGTTTTCAAGGTTTAAAGGTCACGTACATACTTCATAACGTTCATTGATTGTGAAAGTGAAAAGACAAGAAAATTGAAAAATTGTAAATAAAAAATTGGTTGTAAAAAATTTCGTGTTTTAAGCTTTGTAAGATGGCGCCTTTTGGTGCATGCGGTTGTTTTGATAAACTTCAATGTGTTATGTCTTATCTCTGCAAGGCTTCCAGGTTAAGGTTTATAAACAACTTATTAAGTATCCTCATTAAAAATTATAATGGCTAAATGAACATTTTAGAATATGGCAGATAATAGAATATTAAGCGTGGAGCAAAATTTTGTCAAATCTCCAACAATAATCAAGATATCTGCTGTACACACTATATATATAAATATACTATACATATATGAATTTATATAGAAAGTGTCCTCGCAGGGTTAAAGACCAACTTGATATCATAAAACAAATTAATTAATGGAGGATTTGTTATCGTGTCCGAATTAATAAAAAAAAAATAGTTATTTGTATATCAACGCCGTGAAATTTATTTTTAACAAATTTAAAAGATAAAACGCGGCCGAGGTATACACGAGATTTTTTGGGCAACCGAAAGTTGCCCAGAAAAAATTTTTTTAGCTTTTTGCTTGTTAGTCTGTTGTGAATATTGAGTTTATTGTTTTGTTTTTAAAAGGGCTACACAAAAAAGATGAGTTCGGTTATGGTTGGCTTGATTGGTTGTGGGTGCGGTGTATTAACATAGTGTTTTTGCAGATTCGGTATGAAGACGAGGACGAAGATGAAGGCCCCCAACCAGATCAGACGCTCGAGCAGGGCTTACCGATTCCGGTGCGGTTACAGAGCAGTTTTCCACCGGAGCTCGCCAGCACTCCACTCGAAGACATCGACCCGTTTTATAGCAACCAAAGAGTAAATAATAATTAGCGTCCACGTGTTGGGATTGTCTCGATGTCAATGTCATTTCTTTTCCATTTTAGACGTTTGTAGTGATCAGTAAAGGCAAGGATATATTTAGATTTAGCGCAACAAATGCTCTTTGGATACTCGATCCTTTTAATCCGATTCGCAGGGTAGCTATCTATATTCTTGTACATCCGCTATTCTCTCTGTTCATTATCACGACTATCCTGGTTAATTGCATTCTTATGATAATGCCTACAACACCCACCGTAGAGTCAACTGAGTAAGTGGATACTCGTCGAATTGACGCTCTTTTTTATTTTGAATACTCGAGAACGACACATATTCTTGGTAATTTGTTCCTAATTTTTCTAGAGTGATATTTACTGGTATCTACACGTTTGAGTCTGCTGTCAAAGTTATGGCCAGAGGTTTTATTCTTCAACCATTCACCTATCTTAGAGATGCATGGAATTGGCTGGACTTCGTAGTCATAGCTTTAGCGTGAGTAGTACTAGAAGAAATAGCATTAGACCACAAACGTTTTGTTCATTTTCCATTTTATTTTTTCACGTGCGGCACTTAAAAACGTATCGTCCAGCTCGCTCTCACTCTCTGCTCAAATATTTTTTCGAAAAAAAAATAAAAACACGTCAGTTTTTACCTGCCGCACTTTACATTACCTAAATAGGATTCAATTTACATAACGAGCAGAGCTTATGAGATGTATGACTTTCAATTCCAGTTTTTTGAGAGCACGGGGTTTCAAGAAATCTCGGCACAGAAACAGACTTACCTAGAGAGAGAGAGCGAGAGCGAGAGATCGCGCGCTCGACGCGACATTCCTTGACACCCTGTACACACTGATACCTGTCACTTTTAACGTAGGTTTTACTGTTTCTGTTTGAATTGAGAGGTGGACTAACCGTTCTAATTCCACAGCTACTGTATTATTTTCCAAATACTATTATTTTACATATAAATATGTATGTTACAAGTGAGTTTATTGTGCTACGACACGTTCTTTTGAGATCTGTAGATTTATCGTAGCAGTGGCGTAACATTCATTTTTTTACCTATCCTTTCTAAATCTTAAAGCTCCTTCATTTTTAATTCCCTACTTAAATTCTTCGTAAAATATCTTTTTATACATTTCATTTAATTTCTTCTTCTATGTACTATCTTAATAATATTAAATAACAAAAAATATGTATTAATTATTTGAAAAGAAACCTATTATATTATTACGCCACTGACCCGTAGCGTTGTTAGTACCGAAAATTTAGGTAAAAATCCGATATAGTTCATAGAACCTTAGCGTTGATAACTTTGTTATTAAGAATAGACACCTTTAAACGTGGGACCTGTGTAGAGAGATTAGCAGTACACATCCTTTTCGTTGTTGAGACGTGAAAGATATTCAGTTTTGATTAAACGTTGCCATAGACGATAGCGTAATCACTCGTTTTTTTGGAGATGTTCCTTTTTTACGGACTTATTGTTAGTTATAAAAATACTGTGCTTCGATTAGCGTTGGTACTTAGAGGTCTTTTTTCTTTACTTTGCCAAACTGGTGCAGCGCCTGCACTTACTTGCGACTGTTTCAGATACGTTACTATGGGTATAGACCTCGGGAATCTCGCTGCTTTGAGGACGTTCAGGGTCCTGAGGGCTCTCAAAACCGTTGCCATCGTTCCAGGTACATAACGATTAAATCGAATTAAATGAAACTAGGATTTATTTTTGCGTAGGTTTAAAAACCATCGTCGGCGCCGTTATCGAATCAGTGAAGAACCTGCGAGATGTGATAATTTTGACCATGTTTTCGTTATCCGTATTTGCTTTGATGGGTTTGCAAATTTACATGGGTGTGTTGACACAAAAGTGCATTAGAATTTTTCCCACTGACGGTTCTTGGGGTAATTGTACACATGAAAACTGGTTTAGATTCAACAGTAACGAATGTAAGGTTTGTGAAATTTTGTTGTTTTGTGATGTGGATTTTGATGATTTTAGCGAATTGGTATGAGGCGAATGGGGATTACCCGCTATGCGGAAATTCCTCAGGCGCTGGACAATGTCAGGAAGGTTATATGTGCTTGCAAGGTTTTGGGGATAACCCCAATTACGGCTACACGAGTTTTGATACGTTTGGGTGGGCTTTTCTGTCGGCGTTTAGGTTGATGACTCAGGATTATTGGGAGAATTTGTATCAATTGGTAAAGTTTAAAAGTAAAATTAAATGAAATTTTCGTTCTAACCTTACTTGTTTTCGTAGGTTTTACGCTCAGCAGGTCCATGGCACATGTTGTTTTTCATAGTGATAATTTTTCTAGGATCGTTCTATTTGGTTAACTTGATTTTAGCTATAGTTGCAATGTCCTACGACGAGTTGCAGAAGAAGGCCGAAGAAGAAGAAGCAGCCGAGGAGCAGGCGATCAAAGTATGGTTAGTGATTATCGTAGGTGGATAGATTTCGATCGTTTCTTTTAGGACGCCCAAGATGCCCAACTGGCTAAACAACAGAGGGCGGAGGCGCGGGCTGCTCAACACGCTTTGGCCGCTCAGCAGATGACCAAGTCTTCTTCCGGGTCGTCATGCGAGAGCTACGAGCTGTTCCTGGCGCAAGAAAAGGGCAACGACGACAACAACAAGGAGAAGATTAGCCTGCGTTCGGAAGGATTAGATTCAGTGAGTGAGCAGAGAAGGGTGCCTAATCCTACGAACATTCGGAAGGTCAGCACTGTAAGTGTCCTGAAATTTGTACGTACTGTTTTTATTCCGATTAGATCAGAGAGATTAGAGCCAGTATTCTTTGCGAAAACGGTACTACCTGAGGAGCTCTTGCGTATACATTCAATATCATGACACTTATAGTGTCCAGACAGCATTTTTCTGTATCCACTTAGAGTTGATTTTCTAGAAATAGTCGTAGCTGCATGGTTTTGGGACCGTTTTTTTGCACTTGACACTCGTTCTTGACCACATTATCTCTGAATGTTATTAGTTAGTAGTTCGTACCTCACTCAATTTCCAAACACCACCCGGTAAGACCCCGAAAGGACGGCGCAGTCGTTCTGAATCTTCCGTTCTTTGCATGTGGACGAATGCCCACAAACCCATCACGCATAAACAGACGGTGTCCCATGTCCAGGCGAGCTTGAGTCTACCCGGTTCTCCCTTCAATCCACGCCGAGGTTCTCGCGGCAGCCACCAGCTGGCGATGCGCAACTCCCGCCGAATGGTCGTTCCGCCGAACGATAGAAAGCCTCTCGTACTGTCTACGTACCTGGACGCTCAGGAACACCTTCCATACGCGGATGACTCAAACGCCGTTACACCAATGAGCGAAGAGAACGGCGCCATGGTCGTCCCTGTTTACAATTATTTAGGTAACACTATAACAAGCATTTTTAAACCCTTTTAGAAGTCGGTTTTTTTATACAGGTTCCAGACATTCTTCCTATACTTCGCACCACTCCCGCATGTCATACACGTCCCACGGAGATCTCCTCAGCGGTATAGGTGGAAACAGCAAGATTATGACAAAGGAGGAAATGTTGAGGCGAAATGGTCCCTCGGGAGCCATGAAACCCAACAGTTGCACGGAAAGGCCTAAGCACAAAGGCGATTACGACGGCCCCACAACTGTTTGCGAGGAAAAGCTAAAACCGTATGACAATCCCTACACGGACCAGAGGCAAATGGTTGAGCTGAAAGACGTGATGGTTCTCAATGACATCATAGAACAAGCTGCCGGTGAACCGGATCATGGAGGTAAGTGTCACCCACTACTCACAATACTCATACTCATGAGTCCCTACACTAACACCATCGCAAACTGCTGCTAGTATAGCTTATAGATGAGCATGGTGATGGAAATTGATGGAAGAGAGCTTTAAATTAGTACTATTTTAACGCAACTTACAATTAGCTACATAATTATTCTTTAAAATTATCTAATCATATCCTTTTGTCACTGACGTATGTTAACGTACTGAAGTGTCTTGCATTTTCCGATGGTGTCTCACAAGAACACACAAAATACAATAAGCTTAACGAAACGATTAACTTAAAACAGTAGCGCTAGGGAAACGTGGTGGAGTTATGGATGTATTAGCAACACATTTTGTAGCACCACCGCTATTGCACAAAACCTCTTTCCCCAAAAAAGAGTGTGTCAACTTCACGCTTACTAATGCCACGTACAGGGTCTGTTTATTATTTCTCAGCCAATGATGACGACGAAGAGGAACCAACGATGAAGGAGCGTTTACTGGCGAACGCTATTAAAATAATTGATATTCTTTGTGTGTGGGATTGTTGTTGGTGCTGGGTACAGCTGCAGAAGTTTGTATCTTTCATCGTCTTTGACCCGTTCGTCGAGCTTTTCATCACGTTATGTATCGTCGTAAACACGCTTTTTATGGCGCTCGATCATCACGACATGAATAAGGATCTAGAGAAGGCTTTGAAGAGTGGAAACTATGTAATTAATCAATTACTACATGTGTATAAATGATATTAATTTTCTTTTATTCATGTTAATAGTTTTTCACCGCAACATTTATGATCGAAGCCACCATGAAATTGATAGCTATGTCGCCCAAATACTATTTTCAGGAAGGATGGAACATTTTTGATTTTATTATCGTAGCCTTATCGTTGTTAGAGTTGGGGTTGGAAGGTGTACAGGGATTGTCCGTTTTGAGATCATTTCGATTGGTATGACTTGATCGAAAAGAATTTGAATATTTTAAGTAATAATTTTTTATCGTAGCTTCGTGTCTTCAAATTAGCAAAATCATGGCCAACGTTGAACTTGCTAATATCTATTATGGGTAAAACGATGGGTGCTTTAGGAAATTTAACCTTCGTGTTGTGTATTATCATCTTCATATTCGCCGTGATGGGCATGCAATTGTTTGGAAAGAATTACGTTGGTGAGTTACATGAATATTTTTAAATGTTTTAGATCGAAATAATTATTTTTATTATTTTTTTTTTCAGATAACGTTGATAGATTCCCAGATCATGAACTTCCGAGATGGAATTTCACAGATTTCATGCATTCTTTTATGATTGTGTTCCGTGTGTTGTGTGGGGAATGGATTGAGTCGATGTGGGATTGTATGTTAGTGGGAGACGTGTCGTGTATTCCATTCTTTTTAGCAACTGTGGTAATTGGTAACCTTGTGGTATGTATCTTTGGGGTAATATGCTTTTGTTTGAACTATATGATGTTTAATTTTTAGGTTCTGAACCTCTTCTTGGCCTTGCTTTTGAGTAATTTCGGTTCGAACAGCTTGTCAGCGCCAACGGCAGATAACGACACCAACAAAATTGCCGAAGCCTTCGATAGAATCGGTCGGTTCATTGGGTGGATCAAATCGACTATACGGAATGTGTTCAAACTGGTCAGGTTCAAGCTCACCAACCAAATTTCCGACCAGCCGTCAGGTGAGGGACCGTCCAACAGTTGGAACCAAGGTTTTTATCTAATCTGATAGCTTGCTGGTTTTTGCTTGATGATCACTTGTTTTACTTTGCTTAATATATTATTATATTTTGCATGTTATGTGCAGTAAGTAAGGAGGATTCCTCATCAATATGAGCGATAGATCTTTTTTGGTTTCTACTTACCGGAAATATTTTTTACTAGTGCATTGCTAAGCAGGTTATTTATACATTTATTGTAATTTTGAAGGTTAGTATTTTTTTGTTTTTGAGGGTGCGCTTCGAGGTTCCTCGATGAGAACAACCGTTGATGAACCGCGTGCACTTATTGTACATATTCAATTACTTGCATGATCCACAAGAATTCGCAAGCAACCGAACTACACCTTCAAAACCAAAACGGCACTAACATCGAACCGCGATTGTACTCCTTCCGAAAATCAATATCATAGCATGATTAATATATCCCTTAATCACCGTGTATCCGGTCGAATAAAGAATCAAAGAATCCAAAACGCGGAAACTTCATCCTAACCATGTACAAAGTTGTTGTGAGGGTGCAGTTTCCGATGACACTCAAAAATATCATCATCGCTTGCTTGATCGTGTTCAATATTCCGGGGCGACTTCCCGGAATTGAAAGCTACAGTGTATTCCAACTGTTTAAACATTTATACTTTCCAACGGCGACCACTTTGGATGTCGTAAAATACACGTTCATTGTAGATGCGAGAGATGGAGGACTCGAGTTGACTGGTGACGATCTGATGGCCGATGGCATCATCAAAAAGAGTCCCAAAGATAAATTGGAAGTGACTATTGGTGACGGCATGGAGTTTATAATTCATGGTAATTTAGATGCTTCTAAAAACGATGCTGTTGTGAAAGAGTCTTTGTTAAACTGGTTGCTATTTCTAGGTGATAAGAGAAGTAAGAATACTATAAATAAAAGTAAGACTATAGGAAATTCGATTATAGAGCATGGGAACTACATGGGCCATACGGACGATCAGATAAGCAATAAGTCATACGGTAGTCACAAACACCGGTTCAAGGATGAAAGCCATAAAGGGAGCACGAAATCGCTTGATCAGGATGATCAAGAAGAAAAACGGGACGCCAGTAAGGAAGAGTTGGGTTATGGAACGGAAGATGAGGATCAATGCGAATGCGATAGAAAACCTACATCGAATTTGATTGATGAAGCGGCCATCGAAGCGGCAGATACCGAAGATATTATCGAATATTCCGCCGATTGCTTCCCAGAAGGTTGTTACAAGAAGTTCCCATTCCTAGCGGGCGACGAAGATTCACCCTTTTGGCAAGGTTGGGGCAACCTTAGATTCAAAACGTTTCAATTGATCGAGAACAAATACTTTGAAACGGCCGTCATTACGATGATTTTGACGAGTAGTTTAGCCTTAGCGCTGGAAGACGTCCATTTGTCCCAAAGGCCGATTTTGCAAGATATTTTATATTATATGGATAGAATATTCACCGTTATTTTCTTCTTTGAAATGTTGATCAAATGGTTAGCGCTGGGATTCCAGAAATATTTTACGAACGCTTGGTGTTGGTTGGATTTTATCATCGTCGGTGTATCGTTGATCAATTTTATAGCCTCACTGTGTGGTGCTGGAGGGATTCAAGCCTTCAAAACCATGCGAACCCTCAGAGCCTTACGTCCATTGCGTGCTATGTCTAGAATGCAAGGGATGAGAGTCGTTGTCAACGCCTTAGTCCAAGCCATCCCATCTATCTTCAACGTGCTCTTAGTGTGTTTGATATTCTGGTTGATATTTGCTATTATGGGTGTCCAACTTTTCGCCGGAAAATACTTCAAAGTAAGTCATCAACAATTTAATATTTATTACATTTTCTTTTCATTAAACGTTTTTAGTGCGTTGATGCAAACAAAACGACGTTGAGTTACGAGATTATCCCCGATTACAACGCTTGCAAAGCCGAGAATTACACGTGGGAAAATTCGCGGATGAATTTTGATCACGTGGGAAAGGCGTATCTTTGTCTTTTTCAAGTCGCAACCTTCAAAGGTTGGATTCAGATTATGAACGACGCTATTGACTCCAGAGAATTGTTAAAACAGCCGATTAGAGAGACTAATATCTACATGTATCTCTACTTTGTCTTCTTTATTATTTTCGGCTCATTCTTCACTCTGAACCTGTTTATCGGAGTAATTATCGATAATTTCAATGAGCAGAAGAAGAAAGCCGGAGGATCGCTGGAGATGTTTATGACGGAGGATCAGAAAAAGTATTACAATGCCATGAAAAAAATGGGCTCCAAAAAGCCTATGAAAGCTATTCCTAGACCGCGGGTATGTAATAGTATAATATAAAAAAATTTGTTATTGTTTTCTTGATTTTGCGAATTTGGGTTTGTTTTAGTGGAGACCGCAAGGGATTGTCTTCGAAATAGTAACGAATAAAAAGTTCGATATGATTATTATGTTATTTATCGGTCTCAACATGTTGACAATGACCATGGATCACTACCAACAGAAGCAAACTTTCACGCAAATTTTAGATAACCTAAACATGATTTTTATAGTGATTTTTAGTACCGAGTGTCTCATGAAAATGTTTGCCTTACGCTATCACTATTTCACGGAGCCTTGGAACTTGTTTGATCTCGTCGTTGTAATACTGTCTATACTGGGTATGATCTGGTTAACAATGTACGTCTTTCCTCAAATTGTTTCTTTGTAGGTTTGGTGCTCAGCGATATTATTGAAAAGTATTTCGTATCGCCCACGTTACTCCGTGTGGTGAGAGTAGCCAAAGTGGGCAGAGTATTACGTTTGGTGAAGGGAGCGAAAGGAATTCGAACGCTTCTGTTCGCCTTGGCCATGTCGCTGCCGGCGCTCTTCAACATCTGCTTGCTGCTGTTTTTGGTGATGTTCATCTTTGCCATTTTCGGGATGTCATTTTTCATGCACGTGAAGGATCGGAGCGGGCTCGACGACGTCTACAACTTCAAGACGTTCGGGCAATCGATGATTTTGCTCTTTCAGATGTCGACGTCTGCCGGATGGGACGGCGTCCTCGACGGTATTATCAACGAGGAGGAGTGCAAACAACCCGACAACGAGATCGGTGAAACGGGTAACTGCGGAAACTCGACGATAGGGATAGCATTCTTGCTAAGTTATCTGGTGATATCGTTCCTGATTGTAATCAACATGTACATCGCCGTCATTTTAGAGAATTATTCTCAAGCGACGGAAGACGTGCAAGAAGGCCTTACAGATGACGACTACGACATGTACTACGAGATCTGGCAGCAGTTCGATCCGGACGGGACGCAGTACATCCGGTACGACCAGCTGTCGGAATTCCTGGATGTGCTCGAGCCGCCGCTGCAGATCCACAAACCCAACAAGTACAAGATAGTGTCGATGGACATTCCAATATGTAAAGGCGACTTGATGTTCTGCGTGGACATTTTGGACGCTCTCACGAAAGACTTCTTCGCGCGTAAGGGCAACGCGATCGAGGAAGCGGTCGAACTGGGTGAAGTGCAACCGAAGCCGAACATTCCGGGCTACGATCAAGTCAGTTCGACCTTGTGGCGACAAAGGGAGGAGTACTGTGCGCGCCTAATACAAAACGCCTGGAGAAAGCACAAGAGGCAAAGGGGCGGCGTCCCCGATCAATCCGACGAAGGCGAAGCCGACGCGGAGGGTGACGCCGACGGGGACGGCGAAGGAGACGGTGACGGTGACGGCGAGCTCGGCGCTCGACAAACTGCCGTCCTCGTCGAAAGCGACGGTTTCGTCACCAAGAATGGGCACAAAGTGGTGCTCCACAGTCGTACGCCCAGCCTTAGTTCGCGGTCCGCAGACGTTTGAGATTGGCAACGCCCCTCCCCGACCAAGTCCTAGCGCGACTTGACCTATTAACGCGTCATCTTTATATCGGTTCGGTTCCCTGCGTATCCTTTTGTTCTTATACATCGAAGTCAAGTATTAATGTTCCCTACGGCCCGACGTAAAGATGAGTATAGACCCGCTTTTCGAACCTGCACAGCCACATCCCAGCGTGACCGTGCAAGTTCGCGCAGCTGCTCCCGATTTTCGACGTTCCCAATCGGAAATCTGGACCCGCTTAGATCACCAGGTCTCCGCTAACCACGATTCGCCTTCATTATCGACCCCTCGCGAACGACGGCGCTTTCCTCGGCCGCCGTCGACGCGATTTTCCGCAAGGGGAGGGGCGTACGTTGCCGCATCAATCGAGGGATTTAAAAAAATATATTAGAAAAAAATAAAATTAAAATTAAAAAACGTCGCAAAATTGTACACAAACTTTTTGTATGCCTCGTACAATAATATCTACTGTAAGTTCGTATGTGTGGCAGTTTTCGGCGTACGGGAAACTACCAAAGGAAATTAGCACGTATGTCTATTTTAATATCAAATGCTTTAACGAGAGTTACGTTCGTCGCGGACGCGCTCTGGCAATGCATTTAAAAATTTGATGACACGGTTCACCCTAGCTTCGTTCGTTGTTACTTTCCATGGCTGAAGCATCAAATATTTCTAATGCATTACATAGAGATAGGCTCGTTTCATCGTTAATCACACACGGCACATAGTAAATACGTATAATTCATTTTTAACCCATTTTTTTATCCACCCCTAAAGAATGCTTCGTTTATTTTTATTCTCATTTCATCACTTATTAAGTTTTATGAGTTTGTACCGTTTGTGAAAACTAACGATTCTAAACACACATACACACAAAAACACACAACACACGCCTGTGTAACCATTTCGTTGACGTTTTTCTGTAGATAGTACGTATTGATTGTTGAATTTTTTATAATAAATGTTGTACATCTGACGGTGTTTGTGAAGTAAGGCGGATTCGACGAAGATGGGTACGTTTCTACCCGAGCGTATTGTTGTTCCCAAGACAATTAGCTGGTTAGAAAATGACCCGGTTGATTCCGAGAATGCGACTTGGTTGCTTTTTTCTATGCGAAAGAAGCAGCGCAAGGGCGAAACGATTGTTGAGAAGTAGACGAAATTGGTGTAAATAACTTGTTACGATAATTACGGAAAAATTGGACGGCTTGTAAAATAGTCAAACTTAAATTTCAAACCAGGGTTTTTCTTGGTTTACCGTTTTACTTCTGAACGGAGAGGACTGATGTTATTATTTATTTCTGTAAACCAGAAAGAATCTTTTTTGAAAAAAAAAAATATGTGTAAATAATTGTCCATTGAAGAGATTATATTAAAAAAAAGCATACATAACTTACCTACCATTGCGTTCTTTCCGGGTGGCTTTCGGGAAAAAAAGTGAGATCGTATAGTTTATTTTTTTCTACGATATCGAAATAAACCCACTCAGGTTGTAACGAAGGTTTTCCTCGAAAAAAAGGGTGTCTCTTAAGTTTTCGGTTTTCACATAATGCGCACAGATACAAAAAAAACAAACACTCAGACATCCGACGTAAAATACTTTAAAGAGTTATCCTTTCGTCCGCCGTTGGAAGCCAGGATAACTAACGCGCAGCGATTTACCAGTAACGCAAAAAGCGAACACGACGTGTAATATAACGTAAATAATAACAAAAAATACGGCCACAACTGACACTACTTCATAATGTTCACACACCTTTTTACTTGACTTCTGTGGCACTCGCTGATAAAAACGTGAAATAATAAATAATAACGCACTGGCAGCCCTTCGTACCCGCCCTCAAAACATTTTTGACTCGCTCCGGTAATCACGCAATAACGTTCAAAAGCAAAAGAGAAACCCGAAACGCGGTATACATAATAATTATTACATTTAAAATAAAGAGAATGAAACAAACACAAGGGCGTAATAAGAGCAAGCGATTAATACGGTGAAATCAAGATCAGTTTTTTTGCACCTATTACGATTCTACGAGCTTTTATATATTTTCCATCTAATTTGTATGGATAATGACAAAAAAAAACAAGTGCATGATCATTCTTGTAAAATAATATTATTACATATATACATATAGTTTTTCTAAGCAATTGTTGTTTTTAGAATAGCTATTGGAATATTAATATTTAGTTTGTAAGCTTGGCGAAAGAATAAAGCGGTCTCGGTATAAAAATCTTTTAATTCTACCTTTTATCTTTTATTAATAAATTAAAAAATTGATAGTTTTAAAAAATGGTGCCAATAAAAGATGTTCCTTGTTTAATTCTTAACAAATTTTATTTGAAAAATATTTTGATACAAACAATAATTAGGAAAATAATTTTGAATTAAATTTCTATACTCTTCATAGGGAAATTAAAAAATTGATAATTTTAAAAAATGGTGCCAATAAAAGTTGTTCCTTGTTTAATTCTAAACAAGTTTTATTTGAAAAATATATTGATATAAACAAAAAAAAATAACCAACATAATTAAATAGGAAATTAAAAATTTCATAATTTTAAAAAATGGTGCTAATAAAAATTGTTCCTTGTTTAATTCTTAACAAATTTTATTTGAAAAAGATTTTTATATATTAAAAAAAAAAGATAACCAACATAATTAAATTGAAGAATGTATATTTATTTATTTTGCAATAAATATCACAATAGTATATATAAATTAATTAACGACTAGGTAACTATATAATCTTTTTTAATTTATTTTGAGCTGCTTTTATCACATTAAAAATATATACATATGTATAAAAATATATTTATCGTTTGAATATTCTTCAAAGAATCCTAAAATGTTGAATTAAATTAAATTAAATAGGAGTATATGGATGGCCGATTTCTTTCAAAAATATGAATCCTGCGAATAACAAGCAGGTTCCTAAAAGATCCCCCAAAGCAGTTAAAAACGGGATGGCGGAGTTATCCGGGTCAATTTTAAACCTCCACATGGTATGGATTAATAAATGGCAGACGTAGAGAAGAATACTCAGTTGAAATATAAATACTGTCAGGTAAGTTAGAACAAAGTAAACAGTCGAGGCTAATTCGCCGTTGTTATAAATTACATCGGCAACCAGAACGAATACAACTTGACCCGGAATTGATAATATTACTAATAATCTCGCAGTTCTCGCCGATAACACTAAAAAAAATAAGCGTTAATTTGAAAATTTTAATTTTATTTTGAACTTACTTTTACTAAAAAACGTTGCCCACGGCATTATCCATTGCTTGGTGTAAGGCGGGATGATACCCGGCAAAGAAGTTTGATGCAACATCGTTGATATCCGACTTGATTGTATTGAAACTAAGTTTCCACCGATTCCGTTGATTATCGGTTGGAAGACTACGAATCCTGTGAAATCTTCCACGGCACTATCCAAAACTAAACCACCCATTCTATAATATTCAAAAAAAAATAATTAAAAATTACAAAGATTTATTTTTTTGACCTGTTTTGAAACAATTTTACTCCATTAAAATTTCTTGCCACGAATCAGCCACCCCTAAAATTTTAAACCGAAAGGGGGCCGAACGCATCAGGTGGATGATCTTTCAATGTTCTTTTCAAATATAACGACCCTAAACAACCTCTCTCTCTATACACTTTGCGCATGAATAATTTTGTATTAATCGATGTCTAAGTATTGCAAAAACATAAATTCTGCTAACAATATTAAATATTACTGCAGAAATATACTGCTAAAATAGAACAAGATACTGCATGCAGAAAACTAGATGACTTAATCTGCTTGGAAACACTAAATATTACTTGCATAAGAGATGATGATAGGAAGAAGTAAACTAATAAGAAATTGGATCAAGCCAGTTACTTAAAAATAATATTTCCTAAAATAATATTTGTAAAATTTCCTGGAAAACATTCCAGATAATGTTTCAATTTTTTAAACGTCACGGTCATTACATTTGAATTGATGAAGTATTTTTGTATGCGTCACCTGAATTCCGTAAATATTGTTAGCTTATTTTTGAAATGAGAGAGATTAAATTATGTTTTTTAATGAAGTAATGTTTTCGCAGGCCATTAAATTAACATATCTGCCTAAAATATACTTGAAGGATATTATAAAAAAGTCTTACCCGCTAATAAATAAAGCTGAAATAACAGGAACCCATCCTTCTTTTAAAACAGTCTTGGTATATTTATTCTTTCTTACAATCATAACCCAAGTAGGTAACAAAAATAAGACGTAAATTCCAACGATGATGAACATGATATAAAAGTATTTATCGTGTATTTCGTATAAAAGAGAAGCAACTGTTGAAAGGACGATCAAAGAAACGACGTCTCCAATACTAGCCGCTAAAGGAGTGGCCAAATTATCGGGGTTCATTTTTAATTTTCTTGTTAAAAGTATAACGGCTATTAATACAAAGTCCAAAATAAAACAAGATGTTGTTGCGGTTATTGTGCTAGAAGCTACCAATAACATGGCATCGTGAAAATTAAAATCGCCGGTAAGAACTGCCGATGCCGAAACAGCAAACAGCGATACCACGCAAGATGCAACGATAGCTTGGACTTGTACTAAAAAAATGTTTCCTATAATCATCGAGATGAGCTCAGCGCGAATATCCAATGTTCCTAAATTGGCTTGGGTACACATCCTCGATGCCAAACACATATCCAAATTTCCTTTTAATCCAATTATGGCTGGTACCAAAATATAGAGCGCCTTTATGTTTTTGAAAACTTCGTAATCTTCAACTCGACCCAAAACCAAACCGGCTCCTATAGTTCCTATACCAGCAATCAAAAAGGGCACAAAAATTTGGAGCGCCATGTAGAAAAGATTTTCCACAACCGGTTCTTTACAATTGTGACCCGATTTTTCATTTTCTTGAGATTCAACTTTATTAATATCGTTTGTTGGTAGCTTTTTTTCGTTCTCCATTAAACCAAGCACTGTGGTTACCGTCATTTGGTTTAGATCACAGGATAATGTTTCTGTGCTAACATCTATAGGATTTGAAAATCCTTCGTATTTTTTTGACGTCATTTTGTATGTTTTTTGAGTTATTTACATCCGTACAGGCTGGAATTAAAAATTAATAACGTAATTTTATTGTTTAAAAATATATATAAACGATAATATGTTGATTACTAAACAAATTAACAATTACCTCATTATCTATCACCATAAAATTGTGTCAAAATTAATTTATAATATTTTCATTGATTGATTTAAATTTATTTAGAGATTTTAAATCAGATTTTGTTTTATCAATAAAGTTGTTGGTAACTTAATCTCGTAGGTGAAAACAATATATTAATTAAACGGTGTAGTATTGTTTTGCAAACGTGTGGGTATTTTATCGTTTGAGCAAAAAATTTGAATGATTTAAAGCGAAATGCTGTTATCTTGAGGCGTACAATAAACATTTTTTGAAAGTGATTTGTAATTGAAACATTTCTTCTCGACGTGTTCAATAAAAATTTTTATAACAATTAGAAAATACAAAACTCACATTTTTCTTTTATATAAGTGATAACTTTCCTTTCCTTTTTTTACCGCACATTTCACGGTGGAATTACATTTCAACTTACTTATGACAAAGGTATTTTTGTTGTCGATATTTACCGATAACGCGTCTTACGCAAAACTACCATAACCACATTGTAGAAATTTTGTTGGCGTCAAACTCGCGTTTAATGAAAAAAAAATCGCTAATCATATAACTTTTAATAGACTACCTCTAGTAATATGTCACGATATGTTTATTCGCGTATTACGGTTAAAATAATGTCGCGTATAGCGTTTTATTCGATATTGTCCAAGGACAAACTTAATGTTCAAAAAATACCTAATAAAAAAATAAATATAAATTTTATTAAGAATTTTTTTTTAAGAAATTATATAAAAAATTTAATATATAAATAACAT